GCCCCCAGCCCCACCGGGGGCCCCAAGGGGCCCCCAAGGGGCCCCCCGGGGGCCCACTAGGGGGCCCCCAGGGGCTCCGAAAGGCCGTAGGGTCTTTTACTGCAGCAAATGCAGCAAACTCGCAGCGGGGGAGGGTCAGGGGGGCCCCGGGTCTGTGGCGTTCCGAATATATATTTATGTGTATTTATTTATTTGTTTGTTATTCACTTATTTTTAATTTATTTCCAATTAATTAATTAATTTATTTGTTTGCTTACTTCTGTCAATGCATGCGTTTGAAGCTGTCAAATGAGCAAAAGAACGAAAAACTCTCCGAAACAAAACTGCCAAAGTATACACCTCAATATTTCCAGGTGTATGTACACCTGATTTTGAGCTGTCTACGCACCTCAGTGGGGCCCCCCTGGGACCCCCGGGGCCCCCAGCCAGAACTGTTTGTCTTTTAGTTGCAAGTAATGAAAAACTAATTAAATTAAACGGGTTTTAATTAATGTTTTTAAATATATAGCAAAGAGCTGCACCGGGGCCCCGGAGGGGCCCCCTAGGGGCCCCCCGGAGGCCCCAAGACAGCTTCGGGAAGGCCTTCCAAGGGGGCCCCCATGGGGGCCCCCCAGGGCCTCGGGGTCCCCTAGAATCAAGACTTCAGTTGAACTGTCGAAAAACATGTTTATTTAATAAATTAATTTGAAAGATGGTCCTGGGGGGCCCCTAGTTTTAGGGAGGCCCCGAGGAAGAGTTTGGGGGCCCCCCAGGAGGCCCTCTGGAGGGGCCCCCCAGCATGGTTGGGCCCTCTGGGCTGCATGCAAGGGGGGCCCCCAGGGCCGTTGGGGGGCCCCTGCTGGCCTTGTGCCTTCTAGCTGTTTTTGTTCTCAGCTGCTGCTGCAGCTGCTGCAGCAGCAGCAGCTGCAGGCCCTCGGGGGGGGTCCCCCTTCGCTGCTGCTCCTCCTTTGGGCCCCTGGGATCTTGGGGGCCCCACACAGGCAAGGGGGGGCCCCCCAGTGCTGCTTTTGCTGCTCCCAGGGGGGCCCCTCTGTGGCGGGCTGGGGGCCCTGGGGTCTCCCGCTGCTGCTGCAGCGCTGCTGCCGCGCAGCAGCAAGAACAGCAGCAGCAACTGCAGCAGAAACAGCAGCAGCCCCTGCAGCGGCGAGTCCAGCAGCAACAGGAGCAGCAACAGCAGCAGCAACTGCAGCAGCAGCAGCAGCAGCGGCAAGGGTTTGCAACAGCTAGCTTCGGGCCCCTCGGGCTGCTGCCATCAGTGCAGCAGGCGCTGCAGCAGTGGGGCATTCTGCGAGGCAGCAGCATGCAAGCTGCTGCGCTGCCGCTGCTGCTGCAGGGCCAAAGTCTCTGCATAGCAGCAGAAACAGGCAGCGGCAAGACTTTGGCCTACGTGGTGGCCCTGGTGCAGCGGCTGCTCGTGCTGCAGCAGCAGCAGCAGCAGCAGACGGTGGCGGA